TCAATATTTGAGTCTACCTGTCAGATACAGGTCTAATTACATGCTCCCCTTTTACTACTATGGAGGAGGTGTGATGGCCTCATTGTTAGTGCGCTTGCCTCCTGATTGAGTGGTCCAGGTTCAAGCCCCTGCCGGGGACATTATGTTGTGTTCTTGGGCAAGGCACTTTACTCTCACAGTGCTTCTCTCCACCCAGATCGGCGAATTTTAAGAAGCTTGCTTGATACTCAGCCCTTCCATTTTTTCTCTACAGCATCTGACATGGATTTTGGGTCTGAAGCCGTCTGCAGGAGGGACGCTGAAAGCTATGCCAGCCAGCGAGGCTCCTAACTTGGTAAGAAATACTTGCTGTTCTTCCTTTGCTTGCATTGCGAGACTATGGATTACGGTGTAACACCATTAAGAATAGAATAAGGCTTACTATACGTTCTTTGCTTGCACTGGAAGCCTATGGTACCACGCCAGCGTGAACATGATATTAAATGTAGCACTATTTTAGGATCTTTTCATATGTTCTAGGTCATAACCCAAGCAATGATGGCTGAGCTTCCTGTCCTGGCTGCAATCTTATCAAGACTCTTTGAAACATCCAAGTATGTCTTCTGATTACTGTAATTCCTAGCTTCTCGGCACCTTTTGTAACAAATTCTATTAGAAAATCTGAGGGATCAGGTTAGAAATAGAAAAGCGAAGCTGATGTAAATTTTTATAGCTTGTGCAGCCGACCGAATTTTGCGTGACATTGCTTTGTTTGTTTGTTCTATTTTTTTACCATTAATTTATAAATATAGTTACAACATATCAATGTATAAAGGCAAGGAAGCCCAGGGAAGCCAGTAAGGCTTAAAGATACCTAAGACTTAACAAAAGAATAAAAATGCTTTCATCGGCACACAAAATTATCATTATTTAGGATAAAAAGTAGTTGAACAAGGCTAAACGCGCAAATGCGCAAAATCAAAGGAAGACAGAAAAATAGCGAAATAAAGCACACACAAGCACACTAAGAGAATTGAAACATACTTATATGGTTACGCCTCACGGCTTTTGCAGCCAGTACTCGCAGTCTCCCTTCCAAAACAAGCGCCACTTGCGCAGGAATCCTACCAGCTACGAAAACCATCGCGCAGATTGTTTGACACGCCCATGACGTTTGGTTCCAGTAACCAAACATGCTGAAGTTAATGTAGTAGCTGTGAAGGATACTGGAGATGGCAAGGTTTCAGAAATAACAAGTCAGTTTTCTTTATTTTTACAGGTATCTAGATGATGTCGGTTTGCACCATCTTGTGGACGCGCTGTGCAGATTATCCACCACTTCAATGGAACAAGCACAGACCAACAAGGTACAGAGACATTTAATTTAAATTGTTCTGATATCCTCTATTGTCTACCTAACACACTTAAGTATAAATCTACTAGCTGCCTATCACGAATGCTGTCTTCTGATTGGCTACGCCACTTACTATCTATTCTGCTGTAGATAGTGACGCCCGCTATTCTGTTGTAGGGTTAGGGACGCCTGCCGGCTGCACCCTCGTTATTTGTCACGCGATAGAAATCGAGAGCGAATAATCTAATCGTCGAGTAGAGACCTCAGACACCCATATCGTGGTTCAGTTTTCTTTGGCATATAATGGCTTTTTTACACGTAAACTTCATATTAATTGATGATTGTTCCGTCATCATGTCCCATTATTTTCAGGAACCCTCTCTCTTTGCTGTGGCCAAACTGTTAGAGACAGGTTTAAATAACCTCCACCGCGCACGCGTCTTGTGGAAACCGCTGACGGCACATCTTTTGGAGGTAGGCTCTTCTTAGTTTCGACATTCACTGAAAAAACGTTTCATGATACTATCACGTGTTTGTTTCTGTAGGTGTGCCAGCATTCTCACGCTAAAATGCGCGAGTGGGGGGCCGAGGCTGTGACGTCATTGGTTCGTTCAGCTCTGACGCATGACCATAATCCTCCTTTGAAACAAGACCTGGTAAGCAAATCACGTAACGTAACGTAAAGTAACACAACGTAACACAACGTAACAAAAAGTAATAATGACAACACAGTCAACTCAAGTGTAAAGATAAAAAAAAGTCAACCACGAGAAGAATTCAAGTGGCATACTGATATCGATGTTCTTAGTTTGAAATACAAGTCCTGACAAAGAAATTTTTAACTTAGATACGTGTGTTTCTTTTCTACAGCAATTACAGTCGATGCTTCTCAGTCCTCTCCAAGAAATGTCAAATGTCAGCTTTTCGGATATTCGCTATAAGCAATTAGAATGTGTTCTACAGGTAAGAATATGACGCTCTGATGTTTTAATATAAGTCCCTTGTTTTTGTCTTTACTCGTGTCGTCACTGTACGTCAAGGACGCCAAGCGCGCCAAGCGCGGGAAAACGCTCGTGACCAAATCACGTGCATCTGATTGGTTAACTGGTTGACTTCCGTCAAGTATGAACAACTAACACTGAGTAAGTAAGAACAACTAACATTGAGAAATATGAATAAGTTTGTTATGGTCCATAGATTCTTCACTCAACCGGTCAAAACCTGGGGCAAGGATGGCTGTGTGTGCTGGGAGTAATCGGAGCAGCTACTAACCAGCAAGGGTGAGATATCTGGCCTTTTGTCTTGATGTCTGCTTTTCCTGCCTATTTTAACAATGGAGATTTAGACCACCTGTTCAGTTCTCGGACTGCTGTTGTCTTGAGACAAATGTTTTTGATCAGCAAATGACATTCAAATGATACGCCTTTGTAAAACAAATTCCTGCAGTTTGAAAATGAAATAAATGCCGCCAAAGTTATATTCTGTAGAAAAAAAGCATGTAAAAGCAGAAGTTTCCTGCAGTATCTGTTACTTTTCTTTCAAGTTTCATAGGAAAAGGTTAGGAAGGTCGGTTAACATCTAAGAAGCGAACAGGCTAAGATTTATGTTGCAAGGTCCTTGACCCTGCAAATCTTTTGTTTTCTGCTCATTGACCATGCAAGAATTACATAATCACAATGTTTCTATTGGTTAGTTGTATGAGCACACATAACCACATTTTGTATTTTGCCAGGTTTTGTGCAGGGTCAACCCCCAAAATAGCCAACAAAAACATACCACAAAGAAATTTGCCAGGTTTCCTAACCATTTGCCCCTATTAACTATGTTTTATATGAACACTGTCTTTTCTTTTTCTTCAGTGAGGGTCTTATTCGGGTTGCATTCCAAAGCTTACAGCTTGTGGTGACAGATTTCCTTCCTTTGATGCCTTGCACGTGTATCAAGGTCGTGGTGGACGTGGCGGGAAAATTTGGCCTGCAGCCACAAGAACTGAACATCAGCTTGACAGCCATTGGTCTGTTGGTAAGTTATCACGTGACGTTATTGCTGGGGTTTTGTTTGTGGATGTAGTTGAACCCCACCGTTTTATGATCATAGTGTAATTAAAGGAGCTACGTCACGGTTTGCGTATCTTGAAAAGTTTAGCCTAAATTTTTCAACTTCGTCGTTTGTAATCCGTGTCAATCTTCTCCATTCTTAACCATCCATGTTCCTTTATGGTTTATTATTATCTCTTTGGTGTTTTTCTATCTTGGAAAACTTTTATTTTCAGGTTTTCTTCAAGTTAGAGGTAATTTAGTACCCGGTTAAAATAACTCAAATTACCGTGAGCTTTGTTTGAAGGGAACTAACTGCCTCTTTTATTTCGTCGTTTCAGTGGAATATTTCTGATTTTCTCTCGCAACACCGAGAGAAGATTCGCACCGAGTTGGAACAAGTCGAAGGTTCCGCGAATGACAACACGAAGTACGACAAACCGGTGCCTCCGTCAGACCGACAATGGATGTGCTTGTATTCCAAACTCGGTGAACTATGCGTCGATCCTCGTCCAGCGGTTAGAAAAAGCGCAGGACAGACGCTGTTCTCCACCATAAGTGCGCATGGCTCGTTACTGGAGAATGTCACGTGGTACACGGTCCTTTGGAGGGTAAATATAACCTTGTTTACGAGTTGACAGTGTAGTCATTGT